CCTCTAAATGCCTTTAAAAACAACGATGGGCCACCATTTATAAGAACAACAAAAGAAGTAGTAGACAAACATAAGTGCATCCATCTTCTCCACTTATGTCCAAAACCCATTCTCCCCAACATATAATCCACAAACTCCCAACTGACATGGTCATATATCTTCTCCATATCTAACTTACATAGCAAGCTTTCCCTTTTATCCCCCACCAAATCATGCAACACTTCATTCGCCACCATTACTGCATCTAAAATCTACCGACCATCTACAAACGCATGCAAAAATCCAAATATTACCTCTCATTACTCAGTGAAGGTGGACTTCTAGGGTGTAAAGCTGTCGAGATCAATTGAAGCCAACCTGAAACTCAATCCTACGACAGAAGATATGATCTAAAGGTAGAAATTTCAGCGACTGCAAGGAAGATTAATATAAGTGCCACATACTCATCTTGGTATAGCAATTAACATATATATGGTAAGTCAGTTCATGCATTCACCAAGATAGGAACACCTTGATGTTGCCTACAAAATGCTAAGGTACCTAAAGGGAACACTTGGAAGAAGTCTGATGTTTATAAAGCATGAGAATTAAAAGGTAAAGTCCATACAACTGCTAATTGGCTTCTTTGAGACGATCAACGTTAGAATGTTGCACATTTGTAAGAGGAAATCTTGTCACCTAGCAAAGTAAAAAACAAAGTGTGGTTGCAAAGGCAGCACTAAGGCTGGGCTTAGATCTCATGCCCACATGATTTTTGAGGTGATGTGGATCAAGAGGTTCTTAGAAGACTTGAAGAAACTTAAGCATGGTTTAATTTGTGCTCCTTATGGACCAACTAATCAATAGACAACCGACACCAAAGGACTACAGGAGAGACAATTTAATATCATTGTAAGCAAGCTAGCAATAAAAGATATCTATATGCCGGCTTGGGAGGGAGTATCGGAAAGGAGAATATTTGATATCAACTATATCATGCTGAACATTGTGTTTTAATCATGCTGAACAAGAGATTGAGTCAAAATGCTAATCAAGAAAATTAATTAGGGTGATTATTTTTGTAGAATTGTACTTTCCTAGTTTAGCTTTTTGTACTTCTATTTAAATGTAAGATATAATACTTACTAAATCAAGGGGGAATACAATATTTTCCCTTCTCATAATAGCCTACGAAGTACTTTATACATTTTATCTTATATCTAATATACTTTAATAATATAATGTTCATTTATTATAATATAGAGATATATTGTATAAATACGATTTTGAGCTCATCTATACAATCTTAGTTCCTAAAATCAAACCAAGTTTATTATTTTAGATGAACTAAAACCTAAAATTGCATAAATCGTGCTTCAAGTTAAGCTAAAGCTAAATAGTGCTTCATCAAATTGAGCTTAAATACTCAAATATTTATTCAATTGAACTCATTCCCACCCTTATGTACAAGTAAATATTAAGAAGATTTTGAAAGAAGACAAGAGTGTTCTAAGCCATAAATCACCAATAAACATTTAAAGAGTGTCTCCCATATTTTTAATTCCTAATAAAAGCGATGCAAAAATATCTTAAGAATTAGTAAGATAGTTTTAAGTAAATTTGGAGTTTGATTTCAAGTGGGATTTAGAAACTTCTATGACTATCTAAATTTCTTTAACTTAGGGTCAGCACTTGAGATCTATGTAATTATATTAATCTTTGATTATTATGTTAGTGCAGATTTTAGGGAAAAAAACAATAATTTTATTTCTCACCGTTTAGGTTATTACACCTGAATATTTATAAAATCTTTAAACTACTAATTAGGAAATAACTATTTTACTACAATTCTAATTACATAAAATTATTATTGTAGTAGAATTCTAATTATATAATACTAAGTAATTAAATAGTAAACTAAAATAATAAAATATTATATTCAACACCCCCCCCTCAAGTTGGTGCAGAGATATCACACATGCCCAATTGCATATCAATTACAAACTGGGAAACAAATCTGTTAGGCAGCAGTTCGGCTTGGCTCGACTCGACTCAAAACGGTTAGACCCGCTTCAGAGCGGCTCAAACAGC